CCCCCCCCCCCCCTCTCTCTCTGTGCTGTATAAGTACAGATCGGTGATGGAGACCCCCATCACACCAGCAGTTCACTTTTACGCAGTGGAGACGAGCGCTCGGATAGCGAAATCCAACCCGGCCATGAAACTGATAGTGGTGAGTAACCAGAGTTTCTGCAGCTCTTCTCCTTGGTCCGCTAACCCGAAATGATCCGCTGGAGCACAGGGACACTTCTTTTGAAGGCATTGCACTTTTTTTATTTTTTTCCTTCTTTTTTTTTAACCTTTTAATTATTATTATTGTTGGAGGGAGAGACATGGATTATTATTGCGCTACAAGCAGTTTCATATACATGGGAATAAGTCGGGTCGCATTAGTGATATGTGTCCACATACACACAAAAAAGCAAGATATTCGCTAATCACGTGTTATGTTCCCTGTGTACAGCGTGCGTCGGTGCAGGTTGTGTGATGGTGTGTAACTCATTACAGGTGCCAGTAATTAGTCTGTGTCCTCTGAGGTGCAGTCAGGTTCTGGTGGCAGCAACAACATCAGAGTCGGTGTTGCTTACACCATCACTGGTTTTGAGGAGAGACATGATTATTATTATTATTATTATTATTATTATGATTCCATGTTGACCGTTTTCTATAAGCAGTGGCTGTTTGAGTCGTCATATTCAAAACAGTACGGGTGACGCTTTTAAAAGCTCATAAAGTAAAATTCCTCGACTATATTCGGCTCCAGTATTTGCATGCCATTTCCATTTGGTAAAGGGATTTCTGTCTTTCTGGCACATATTCTCCTCTGCGAAGTAGCAGCAGGGCATGTGGGGGCACCTGAACCTAGTTTTTTAAGACAGATATAGGCCTAATCATGACTTAGAAAGACCTGGTAACATAATTTAGTCCCATATTCAGTTTTATTTATTCAGTGATGTTGAATATAGGCCTACTGTGTGTAGATAAAAAAGATTCTATTTGACAATATAATTGGATATTGGGGGTTGTTTGCTTTTACTGGTTAATGTTTTGCCCACATTTAATTTACTATGAGTACTCGCCTACAGACAAAATATGTAATTTCCTTCAATGAATGAAAGTTTCGGTCACATTTCATTGCTTTATATGGCATGTTTGAAATGAATGAAACTGCACACTCTCAAACTAGAGTTGTGGCGTGTTGCCAACAGATGGTGTTTACTGTAATTCTGTTGTTGTACTAATTTGTTCAACAGCACTACTCTATGGTTTTTAAATGTATGCCCCTGGGCCAAGAGCAGTTATTTCCTTTGGTGTGTTTTGCATGCTGTTCTGTGTTGGGGCCTTTGTTGGTTTTGCATATGTTCATTTACAGATGTATATCATGGAACTGAACAGATCATACACTGTAGTTACAAAACACTGGACCCACTATCTGTCCTTATGGCTTGCGTGTCTGTTTTGTCTGTGTGTCTCTGTGTGTATGTGTGTGTGTGTGTGTGTAAGAGAGAGAGAGAGAGAGAGAGATCCTATTTTGTGAAGTGAATGGTCAGACAGTAATTTAGTTTGCAAGATGTCCTTGTGTGTAAAGTAGGCAGTAAAACATTTGCTTTCTGCCTCCATTTAATGTGATATCATCCATACAGAGTATTTCCTTTACCGCAGAGCAGTCTGCAATTGACCTAAAATAGACAAATATTTAGTTCTTACAATTTCTGACATAACGTTCTTGTGTTTATGTTTCAGTTCAGTCAGTTAGTCAGTCATTTGGCCAGCCAACCAAGCACCTATTTAGCCAACTAATGAGTCATTCTAAACTGTCAGTATCCAACATCTGCACTCATACCCCTTTCTGCCTGCTTGTGAACCAGCTAGAAAGCCAGCCAGTCTGTCTGTCTTTTTATGTTAATTCTATGTTTACGGGACACTCTACAATTTAGTGTCCGAAACATTGTTTAGTCCAGCAGTAAATGCACCTCCTGCAACTGTGTGCTCTTCCTGTTCCTCTGCATGCCTCTGACCCATGTGGCTGTGTTTTGCCTGCTGAAAACACACATGAAATTGGACTTAATGTCAGTCTTTTTGTTTTTGTGAGGACACTTGTTTTAACATGTTTACATGTGACCAACAGTAGAGAAATTAGATTGAGATGAGGACAATAATGCAACTGAGGAGGATTTCTATCTTATCTTTTCTACTTATCTGGTCAGGTCAGCACGTTGTCCAGCAGCCAGCCAGTCCATCCATCCCTCCTATAATCCAGCCACTCATCCCCATGTCGGAACATACTGTATCTCCCTCTATTATTATCTATCATCTGTACTCTCTTTATCTTTACGCCTCCTCTCCTTCACTCTCTGTTGTGGCCGTTGGTATTAGATGCACCAACTTCCCTAAACCTGGCAGCCGGTTGACAGGCAGACAGGAGAAAACACAGAGGTGTTTGGCCAAACAGACTCATGATTTCTTTCTTTTTTTTTCTGGACAAACACTGGAGAAAGGGTGAGGAAGGGAGTGTGACGGGGGAGGGAGACATACAGAGGGTGTGTGAAGGTACAGGATTAACATCTTTTAAACAAACAAGCACAAACGTTTATTCAGAAAGCAACGATTGCCTCTGGAAGATCCTTCCGCACACCTAACTTCCCTTTTTCCATCAACAGTAGTACTGATAGCAGAAGTGTGTATATGTGTGGGCGTGTTGTGTGTGGCACAGTTGTGATGAACTCATTGATCTAGTCTAAGTGTGTGTGTGTGTGTTTGTGTGTGTGTGTAGGATTGAGTTTGAGATTAACAGACACAAAGAGCATACACAGAGATACAGCTGTTGTATTAGTGGCAGAGTCACACATTGGCCTTCACTTCTGTTTTATCTTTAGCTGTATGAGTCATATTAAAAACAGCATCACTGATCTGATGCAAATTTCTGTAGTGAAAGTTTATCTGACACATATGTTTGAACAAGTGTTTGATTTATTTTGCCTGAAACCTAAACAGCCAGAACTAGTCAGTTCTCATATTTAAATATATAAAGTATTCAAACAAATGCAGCTACAGTTTTTTTTTATTTTTATACATCCATATCTAATTGACGTTACAAGTTATCATGCTGTATGCAGTGGTGGAAGAAGTACTTAAGTAGAAGTAGCAATACCACACTGTAAAAATACTCCATGACAAGTACAAATCCTACATTTTAAACTACTTTAAACTACTTTATACTCAGTGGGTAGTTTAGTCCAGTTCCCAACCCAGGGGTCAGCCCCCCTCCTAGAGGTCACAATATACATTTAGGAGGTCATGAGATGATTAATTAGGCAGCAAATAGAAAAAAACTAAGTTCTGCTCACTTTTCTCTAATCTTTTCAATCTTTAATGTGAAATATTGCATAATGTGAACTTTTTTGGGTTCTACACTGTTGAATGAATCAATGTTTAAATGCATTGTCTGAAATGTGGCCATGACTCTCTACCAGACACTGTTGATGATGTTGATCTTGAGCAATGAATCATATTTTCATAAGGTTATCATAGGTTTTTTTAAATGTATTTTGATCTGTAAAATATAGCTGTGGAGTATAAAGTGAATGGTTCTGAATAGTTTCTGTATTTGTTTCGAATGAGTCACTGGTCTGAATTCCTGGACGTTAGGGCTGCAACTAATGCTGAACTCATTTTTATCATTCATTAATCAGTCAATAGTTTGGTTCATAAAATGTGAAATAA